TTTATTGTCGCTTCACGACATAATAACTCTCGAAAACAGCACGTAGACGCGGCTCAGAAGGGAAATCGGTCTGTAGTTCATCGTGCTGTAGTAGAACAAGACCACCGCACTTCTGCTCCACGCCTCCGGTGTAATGCCACCATGGAGGACGGAATTAAAGAGCTTCTGAAGGATTTCAAGTACCGGTTTTTCACCCGCTTTTAGAAGCTCCGCTGTAATTCCATCCTCGCCTGGGGCCTTGCCGTTTTTAAGGTGCTGGAGAGCCATTCTAATCTCGCTCAGACTGACGTCCGGGATATCATCGGAATAATGTCGGATAAGGCTCACTCTTGGATCGTTACTCACACTTGCGTGTGGCTCCAACGATGATGTGTACAACTGCCCATAGAACCTCTCAATCTCACTCAAAATCTCAGATGTCCCGGAAATGACACTGCCAAACTCGGTCTTCAGCTTCGACAATTGGCTCTTTCTGGCAGACAGATCTCTAGCAAAGACTTTGAAGCCCTGGTTCCGCTCGATCGCTTCTTCAATACGAGCAGTATTAAAGTTGCGTAATTCCCGCCGCATTCATTTGGAGATCTGTCCGTTCAGTTGCCTGTATGCTGTCAAATCTACTAAAGACTGCAGCTTCATATCCCGCCTAACAGCCATGAGATTAAGAGTGTGATCGGAGAGTTTTTGTGTTCTTCTGCGGCGGGTCTTGCAAAACTTAGCTCCGATCACATGGACAGTTTCCACGAGCTTGTCGTTCATATAGTCCACTGCATTGCAATCTTCTAGGCACTGAAAACGGTTTCGTAGCTCGAGTTGAAAGGTTGCGGGACTTTGGATTAGAGCACGAGGGGGACGGAGCGTTGACTTCATTAGACGTGACCTCTCCAACTTAACGTTTAGGTTCAGTGTGCCTCTCATATATTCGGTGATGGCTGCCGGTTTTCATCCTCGCGATCACTGAGACATCACTGAACAGTTGTCGTCTGGTCGTCATAATGAAGTCAATCTCATTTTTTGTCGAACCGTTGGGGCTCGACCAGGACTCTCCACTTCCTGTGGAGCTGCTTCTGGAAGAAAGAGTTCATCATAAAGAATCCCTCTTTCTCCATGAAGTCAGCCAGCTGCTGGCTCCTTGGGTTCCGTTGCCCTATTCTGAATTTCCCTACTTTCAGCTCACCGTTCTCTCTTGTGCCTAGTTTTGCGTTGAAGTCTCCCATTAACACCGTATAGTGGGTTTTGGAGGAATGCGTAGCTCTAGAGATATCCTCATACATTTCCTCCACCTCCTCATCGGGGTGTGCCGAGGTTGGTGCGTAAACCTGTATGACCTTCAGCGAATACCGTTTTATGATTCTAAGTATAAGGTACGCAACACTCGTCGACACACTCCCAATCTTTACAACGTTGTTAACGATGGACGATAAATCCGACACCTCCTTGGGACAGATGGTCGCCCTCCCGGTGATAGAACAAGTTGCCGGATTCAAGGATTACCATGTCCTTCCCCTCTCTTCGGACCTCAGATAATCCTATAATATTCCAAAGCAACTTGTCTACCACTTCTTCCAGCTCCAGGATCTAATCGTCAGTCCTCAGGGTGCGTGCATTATATGTTGCCAGGTCGAGTCGTCTTAGGTGGCAACCGAACTTCCACCGGAGATTCTTAGCACCCCCTGCCACGCCATTACCATGGTCGCCACCGTAACCAGGAATAGCGGGGCCGCCGGGGACTGGGGGCCATCTCTTCGTAATCATGTCGTTCGTAATAAATTAATCAATTAAATGTAATCATTCATGTCATTCGGGTATATTGCCATAGTTGCCACGCTTGGCGAGCGGGTTGGCAACCGCAGTTTTTTATTGTTGTTTTGCTATTATCAGAAAGATGCTGCTACCCATCCTCTGCCTCAGTTTCCCTCTGTCGCCTCTTACGACACCCACGGGATGATATGGGGTAGTGAGTATTCTTTCCCGCCACTACACGGGGAGTGTTTAGGTATAGTTAATAATATGTTTGCATTAAGAGCATTTCTGTTGAATATTGATATACTTCGGGAGTGACAAGGGCGATATGTCAATTAGACAAGCTAGTTAATTGCACACTGGTTTAATGAGACAGCGACCATTCGGTGGGGAACGCAGCCCACACATAGACATACACAACATCTCTCCACCTTATAGCTGACATAATAGACAAAATTAATAAGTACTCATAAAATATGAAAACATTTTCAAAGCTATGACAACATAGATCACGTAGGGAAACGTAAGCCTCCATCTAGGTATCCTCCTGTTCCGATGTCGGCGTAGAGAATATCGGACTTATAGGTTTTGCCTTCTTCGAGTAGCGGCGCTAGCACGGAGCAGAGTCTTCGGGCACTCGCTAATATAAATGTCCTTGCCAGGTCTGGTTCCGTTACATCCCGTCCTTCCCCTCCTACATCAGCTGTGGTTCCAGACCGGACTCTGTCCCTAGAAGTAGTAGCGGTCAGCTCGTCGAGCACCACATCCGGGTCCCATCGCCGGTGAGTATAACTGTGCTCTTAACTGATCGATATGTCTCGTGACTTCGCAGTTATATTGAGGTACGTATATTCTATACATTACGTTTCCAATTTTGCTTTTCACTATGCCTTCGATCCAACAGAAGTTTTTATTGTATATATTTTTTGTTAGCCACACTTTATCACTAATTCTTAATTCTGATCTTTGTGTCCCTTTATAATTATGGGCCTGTAATAACTGATTATGTTCCAATGTTTTAACGAGGTCTGTGGACGCTGGAAACGACGCGAATGGGTTTAATAAATCTAGCCGTGAACGTAACGCTCGCCCGTATATAAGTTCTGCTGGTAACTTGTTCGTGGTACTGTTTTTAGAGTTCCTATAGTCAAATAAGTTTTGATTTATTTCTTGAACAATTTTTTTTTATGTTTTAAATAAATAGATTGACTTGGCCATCGCATGAAAACGCAATGTATCTATCTCTCAAGTAGGTAATACGTATTATATTAAATTAGATTGTTTAGTGTGATTTAAAGTTTGCCAAGTCAATTTATTTATTTAAAACATAAAAGATTTTTAATATTGATATGGTCACTATAAGATCTTGTTAGGTTAGCTTATTACGTAATAACTTAAGAGAGAAGGAACCTTAAGTAGGGACTGAGTAAATTAACCGACTTGGTATGACATGGATCTCACAACTTTTTACGGTAGAAGAACTGAGTTGCCTGACTTGGTTTTTTTACAAGTTATGTTTTTGATGGCATCTCATTTCTTTTTGTAGATAGTTATATCTAGGTACCTATCTACACCTATTATTCCATTATATTATACTTATATAGGTACATTGATTCATTCACTGCAAATGTAACTTTCTAATCCTATATATTTATATGGGATTACAAAGTTATTTATGCAGTTGGTGTATCTCGAAAACTGGAACGAAATTACAAAATATTTTAATTTTTTCTTGATTTATATACTAAACAATAGTTGTATTCCAAATTTCAAGCTTCTATGTCTGCTAGAAGTGCCTTAGTTTTGATGATCGGTCAGTCAGTGAGTGACAAAATTAAAAAACTTTGACTAGTTCTAATTCTTAAACTACTGGTTCAAATTTGATGAAATTTGAAATATACCGAGTTTATACAATGCCTACTTGATTACTGAAAATTCAGGCTTCTAGTTTTATCCACAACGAAGTTAAAGGGTTTCGAATATGGCCTGAACTGCTTCGAGAAAAGGATGGTACGGCCGTGCTGCTTTTTTGCTCGACTTGGAGGGGACACTGCCGTGCCCCCAGATACTCTTAAGGCCCTTTTTAACAATTTTAACAAAACTTTCTGCTTGTTCGTTACTACTTGGATGATACAACAGGGAAAATATGTGTTTTATTCCGTTTTGTAGACAAAAACTCCTAAACTCCTGAGACGTGAAAGAAGTCCCATTTTCACTCACTATGACAGCTTTGGATTTATAAGAAGTATTCATATTATGAACAAATACAATCATATTCTACAATAATCAAATACATAAAATTGTTGAATGGACCTAGAAAGTCAAGATGGACCCGATGAAATGGATGCGGTGGCAAGGGTCAGGGAGCGAGGAGCGGGCCGCAGCGCTGCGTAGACGCTGCAAGCGCCTGCCAACTGCTCCAGCACGGCATCCACCCCGGGGAACCATAAATGCTTACGTGGCTCCGCTTTCACTTTTACCACCCCGAAATGAGAACTATGCAATTACTTGCATATGAACTCTTGAAGTGATGCGGGAATCACAACTTTATGGCCGCGCATTAAGACACCGTTTTCATAAAATAGTTGATATCTACAATTGTAAAAGGATTTTAAATCTAAATCATTATTTTTTCTTGGCCACCCATGTAAAACGTAGTAACGCGACACAGACCCGCGTCGTTGCTCGTTTCGCGCTGTAAATCTTTCAGCGTCACCGGTAGACCACCATCGACTACGAAATTAACATAGGCAGCGCGATCTTCGCACGCCGCGAGCTCATGCTCGAACTCACTAGCGGACGTCATCATCGACTCGAGGCGCGATATGGACGCAGGGGGAACCGCTCTGGACAAGTAATCCGCGCTGTTATGTTTGCTACTGATATATTCGATTTTGTAATTATAGGCCGCCAGAAACATCGCATAACGCTGTAGTCGGTTAGCGGACACTTCGGGAATGCCCCATAAAGATGTGGCCCGAATATGGTCAATAGTGGCTCCATCCCATCCTCGTCGCCACATGTTGAATATTTATATAATTCGGGAGTGACAAGGGCGATACGTCAATTAGAGAAGCTATACTAGAATTATTTTGTCCGTGCAGTTTGGGTCATAAATCATCGAAGTATTTCGCTCTCTCTCCCACTCACGGGCCTTAGGGGCGAGCATAGTGATGCGCATTATTGTTGTCGATAAGCGTTATCGATAGAGTATTTAGTTTTGTCATTATGTGGGTTAGTGATAAAAATGAAAAAAAATAGATAAAACAACGTATTTATTAAAATAATAATAATGATTTAAAATAAATTATTCATAAGGTATCTATGTAATAAAAAACTATAAGTACAATTGTTTGGAATGTAACAAGTTATATTAAAGATAAATATAAAGATAATAACTTATATCTAAAATTAAATCTAAAACTATTTACATTAAAATTCTACATCAGAATCATCAGAGTCCTCGTCATCCACATGGATTACAATATCTTCTGCCAGATGAGATTTCTTCAAATCTTCCTCTTGGAGTTTTCTGCATGCTTCACACAATCTTAACAGTTCTTTTGCGAAACGTTTGAAATTGCTTCATGTAGTAACACTTCGACGTCTGCAATTTTAAAAGTGCTGTTTTTGGTGGCAACTTCATCTTTTGCTTGAGCCCATACCAACTCAATTGCGTTATATTGGCAGGTGGTAAGCGAATCACTTCGTGTCTTGACTCCAAAGCTAACTGATCCAATTTGTATATTTTTTCTGGTCGGTTCCGTTGTACCTGTAAATATAATGTTGTTTGTATATTCAACTAAATACTTAAAAGAAAACAAATGTATTGCAAACTTTAAATAATAAAATCTAAAATACCATTTGTAATAGTTCCGGCTTGAGCTCACTATCACTAAACTCAATCCCGTGTTGGCGGAGCCACTCCTGAATTTCACTCTTTTTGTAAGCTGATGTCGGTGCCCGACTTATTTGCTGGGAGCGGTGGGGTGCGTTGTTCATTATGATGACTGATGGTTCTTCGAGACTCTGAAACAGCTTTGTAAACCAGTCTGTGAGGCCTTCGGCATTCATTTCTGAATGGTAGTTCTCGTTCTGAGACTTCACAGCACGGAATACCCATCTGGCTTCGGGTATAAAACCATATTTTGACAAACTGAAACAACATATATATTTTGTATTAAATTATTATCAAGTCGTATTTCTTACATAAAACATGACAGAATATTTACCAATTAGTCTGCCCCCCTTTCCCGTTTTTGTGTTTAAGCCGCTTTTTCCATCCTTGTCTAGCCAAATTCGTTTGCGGCTGTGTATTTGGTTCACCCAAGTCTCAACTAAATAAATTTTTGGTCGAGTGTCTTCACTATCTCTCAGAGTTTTCTTAGGAATTGTAACCGCGCACAAACGATGTCAATCCTTTGCATCAATTGTTTACAACCATCTGGAGCTTATGTGTACTTGAACCCAAGTTAAGTTAAGTTAAGGCAGTTACTGTACAAGGCCGATAGACGCTTTCTCGCGGAGAGCTAACTTCTCCCTTTATACACTCTATTTAATTTTGTCGACCGCTCTATAGGTGGGTATCCATTACGTTCGCGAACCTCTTGCGCTCCGCGCTCCCGTAACCGCTCTGATGGAGACGGGTACGCGTATCTCCATAGGAACATGCATGCTCCACAGTCCTCTTGTGAACATTGAGCGAACATATCGTCACCATTAGTGGCTAGTGCAGCATATATTTTATTTCATTATCTACTCGAAGACTGTAGAAGCCCTCCTCGCTTTTGGGAATCTGACATTTTCAAGAAAAGACATCCGAATTCATTAGTGTTGGAACTCAAATCTCAAGAATTAAGTGGCCATTATAAAAACTTCATGCGAATGTCTTCATCTAATTTTGAATATTTGTATACTTTGGTTGTACCAGCTATACAAAAAAAAAGACACAAAATTTCGAAAAGCTATATCGGCTCATGATAAATTAGCATTAACGCTACGATTTTTAGCTACGGGTGATAGTTTCAGAAGCCTGCAATACTTATTTTAAATCTCAAAACAGGCAATCAGCAAATTTATCCCAGAAGTCTGTCAAGCTATTATCAATGGACTGAAAGACAATGTGAAGGTAAGAAATGTTTTATTAATAATAGGTTCCATACAAATTAAAAAAATAATATAAGAAGTATAATTAAATGAAATCATCGACATCAAAAAAATCCGCGCTGTACTGCGATCCGCTTGGACTGCTTTGACTAATACCAGCTTCAGAGGCACTACCTGTTGGCCGGGAGTGTGCTGATGAATAAATCGGATCCAGTGTAGCTGTTTCTGGCCGTGTTGTATAATAATTTTGGGACTGACTTGTGTAGTAACCATATTGTTCATTGTTACTAAAATATTCTGCGTCAGCCTTAAATACGATATCACATAAACGCTGTTCTACCAAATTCTTCGTGCCATGATCGTAACTTATCAATTTATTCTCTAAAAATTTAAAAAAAACGTGCCAATCTCGTCGTCTTGATTTGACTTGGTCGATGCTGATTTTAAAATACCAAATGCATTTAACATGGCAAGTTTTGGATCGTATTTGCGTTTTTTTGGAGGCGTCGGGGCGCATTTGTCGGAGATGCAGGCCCATCTGTAGTTTGTTCAGTAGACGGTTGGTCGAGAATAGCATCATTATTATTTTCCTAAAAACAAAACAGGCTAAAAATGTATGTAAACACTTTATTGTATAGTCAGCGACATAGCTTTACTTATTTGTTTTTTTAGTTGCCTAACAACCCTCAAGAGTGGTTAATGATGTCTGATGCATTCGACGAGTTATGAAACTTTCCTCATTGTATCGGCGCAGTGGATGGAAAACATGTACCTAGTTTTAAAGGCGCCTGTTAACAGTGGTACCGAATTTTACAACTATAAGGGCCATTTCAGTATTGTGTTATTTATTTTGGCCGATGCTAATTACAAGATTAGGTTTGTCGATGTCGGTTGTCAGGGCCGAATATCGGATGGTGGAGTATACAAGAATACTAAACTATACTCTTTGATAGTAAAAGGTGAATGGCTTTGCCCACTCCAACACCTTTGGAAGGACGTAATAAAGTTATACCATATTATTTACTAGGTGACTCTGCATTTGCATTGTCCGAAAACAAGATGAAACCGTTTCCCGGCCAAACACATGCGAAAGGTACTCTTGAAAGTGTTCAACTATCGTCTAAACAGAGCACGTCGTGTTGTGGAAAACGTTTTTGGTATAATGGCACAAGTCTTCAGAGTTCTAAGAAAACCACTTATGGTAGAACCAAATAAAGCAGTAGTTATGGTACTAACGACCGCGCACTTGCACAACTATTTACGAGCTTATTCAGAAACTTACTGTTCTGGAATAAGAGAAAACGAAAGTTTAAGAGAGGATTATGTAACATTACAACCATACGTTTAAGTGGACTTTTACGGGTCGATAAAGAATTCCTCGATAATGGTGGAAAACTCTCCAAATTGAAATCGTTTTGCATAAGATTTTTAACCCAGTTTTTTCTGCATACGCTTGCTCATATTTTGATCTTCAACTGATATGGCTATTAAATATATTTCTTTATCATAACTGTACACGCCCCTAGGTACCCCGACAAAGGTCGACCATACAGGGGCCCATACAGCTGTAGATTCGACGGACAACTAAGGGTGGGGCCCAACGGCCTATGGAGACTTATTATTCTACACAATAGATATAAGGCTAGGTAAATAAATAGTACGTACCTGGTTCCGAAGCTAAGACTGACCCCAGGGCTTGGTCAGGCGGTAGGTAGGTGCATGTAAGTATTGTGTTATAAGATGTGTATGTGTGACCTGACCTAACTGAGGTGATCGGGCAGCGGCCACGTCCGATGCTACTCCACGACGTGGTATCACTCCAGCGGACGTCACCAATGGAAAACTGCTGACTTCTTTCACTATTTCAGTCTATCAATTTTATTGTACATATAATTAACTTCAAAGTCAACCAATTCCACGTTCATCGAAATCAAAAGCGTGACACACGGCACAACTAATGAACGGTCAATCAAAGTTCACTTCCGTTTTCACTCAGCAGCAAATTATTTCTAGAACCAAACGCGACCTTCTTTAGGGTCACAAAGTTCCGTGCTCCCCACAACAACCAAGATTCTTTCGTACAATATTAACAGGCCACTCACGCAAATCAAAGATTGCAACTGCACTTCAAAACGCTATCACTATACAAATTGACGTAAATTACTTGCAACGAAGTTACTTTAATCACTCAAATTCAATACAAGCCTCTTGTCACGAAACACTCAATTCGAGGCGGTATTAAAGATACCCAAATCTTCGATAGTAATTAGGCGCGCACCATACTCAAATTCGGACGTTGATAGCAGGCGTCCGCGCAGAAAATCTATTTTCCTAGACTCAACAAACTCCTCGTCGTTGCATAAATTTGCTAACAAAAACCGACACTATATAGAGGTTATACGGGACGCGACCACGCCGTTCTAGTGACTGCGCTGCATTAACACTTCCGACGCGCCCTGCTCGCAACCAACCCGATCTCGCGCGAACCTCAACCGGTAGGAAATCACCGCGCTGAGCGCCCCCTGGCGTCAATTCTTGAAATTAGCGTTTGGCGCGAACAATAACCATGATGCAACTTGAGACTGATAAATCAAAACAAAAAATACAGCTCCGATCTTTTTTTATATGTTCTCGATGTTGAGAGTATTACTCCAGCCCCAAGCATTACACGCTCGGCTCTGAACTCATCCGCTTTACCCAGTTTTCTAGTCAGTCAGCACTGAGCGTTTAATAAATCACTAAGACCATTAAGTCAATAGAAAAAAAGCATTCGGAGCCAGTCAATGTGTACGGACATTAAGCCTTTAAAAAGGGCCATGATCCATCATCATCATCATCATTACAGCCCTTCACAAGTCCACTGCTGAACATAGGCCTCCCCCAAGTAATGCCACAAAGCATAGTATAGCTCCGATTATCAATTACTAAATAAATTTTTATACTATTATAATATGATAGTCTATATTAATTTAACTTTTTTTTAAAGTTTAACATATTTATTTTGGATGGATACATGTTACATAGAATTTGAATATCATTTATTTCCTTATTCTAGAATGGTTTACACTTTTATAAGGTAACATATTTTTTCATGTTTCCTACTTAATAGTTCCTAAATATTCATCAATCACTGATTATGATTACAAATAATAACGACAAAGGCTTATTAATAACAATAGAAACGATTTAAACCTAAAATAAAAAAAAAATGAGACATAAGATTCAAAAAGTTAAGTTTAAAGTAAATATAATAAAAATCTTTGAGATTAGTAACTTTTAAAAAGCCATCAAAAACAATTAATGAAAATGCATGCACAACCTTCCTATTTAGTTTGATCAGTATTATCTTTATTTTGGCAGTGTGAGATCTTAACTTGATAAATGCTTATTTACAATTTTTGACAAACCTTGCTAAAGTTTTTATCTCTTTTAATAATGATAATAAACATAGGACTCACGGCTAAATTGTTACTTTTATAAATAAATACTTTCTAATAACGGTTGAATACTATCGATAGTCTAAACTTAAAAAGACAACGTTCTAAATGTCTGTCTAGCTATTAGAATCTCTTACATCATCTAACATTGTTACGGTATGGCAGCGCATAAAATATGAACAAGCAGTGTTTGTTTGTTCGTATTATTAATTTTTATATATTGGATTATATTTTAACAATTGACTTTATGAATATCTAAGTATATATTTCTGTGATTATTTAAGGCGGCCTGGCTGAATATTATACCTTATAAAGTTTTTTCGAAAATATTTGTTATGCTTATTAACCACTATATACCACCCCTACTGGATTTAAAATGTTTTTGTTAGTGTAGTGTAGTGTAGTTTAGTAAGTGTAGTTCGTAGTTCGTATAAACTCTTACTTAAAAAGAAAGAGTAAATACTTAAAAAGAACGTATAATTCAATATCGTCAGAATCGAAGTAGGTTCAATTATTATGTACCTTGGTCTCATTGGTAGAACCATGCTACAGCTATATGGTTGTAACATGAATGGGTCGGCTCGACCGAAGAAGGACCACTCTCTCACAGAATACCAGCGCTAAATAGCTAGTGAGAATAGTTAATGATAAAATATATATGAAATAATAAATATAGTTCAATGCTGCTGTGTTTCGTATGATGAGTGTAGGGAACCAGTGACACTTTTTACTGGATAGGATGTATTCCATCTTAGTCCTGGGGGTGACAACGAATCTGCATTAGGATTCTTAATCGAAGATAGATGTAGATATCTATGGGCCACAGTATCCACTTAGGTGGGCTGTATGGTCGCTTGTGACCATTATGCGATAAAAAAAAAGTGCATTTTAAAATACACATATTACTATCGATAAGTGTCCGACCGTTACTTCCAGCTAAATAACCTTAACTATGTATATATAAACGTATGTATAATAGTAAAAAAGACACCAACAACTAGTAATAGTAGACACCAACGTTCGTGGCAGTCGTGAACATAAAACGGTAAGAGCTAGCGGTGTGTCGTTATGTCTTTTCTAAATAACATAACGTTATCGTTATGGTACAACGAATAACGTTATCATAACTATCTATATTCATAACTGTCTATTTTCCATGTAACCGTAACTTAACAATATACCGTCAGAGAACAGTTATCATCAAAATTATTTTCGTTTCACTATGTAAATACTAATTTAGTTGCTGAAATGAATTTTCCTTCGTACTTTTGATCTTTTGACATCTTTCTAAAAATATATGCATCCATTTTTCCTTATTTGTGTTGAGACTGCGGTACAGTACAGCTGATCGCATCACGGAGGTTGGATTTGATATCGAAAGCTGGCTGAAAAGTTGTCTTTTAAGTTATTACTGACACAAGGACACCCAAAGTGTTCACAGGTCTCGAAGATCTAGCAATCGTTTGCTGTTCTAACGAAACTTGTGTGTACGCTTCTATATATCGCTGCCGTAAATGTAACTTCAGATAATCTGAAGTCGTCTGAAAACTAATTTCTTTATTACAAATATTACAACGCGCTTTTTTATTTAAATTATCAGTTTTTTTCGAAAAACTCCCACAAAACAATGTTTTGTAGCGACATTGTTTCTTTGTTATATTACAACCTAAAACGAAGCTATATCTATATTTACAATCACGAAATCAAATAAATATTTACAAAGCTATTTTTTCGTTTTTAGACTTCTTTTATGAACACTAATATCACTATGCGTGCTTTATGCTTTGAAATAAACTTGGAATTAGCAAATAAAGCAGTTTTTAAATAATAATATTACACCCAAAATTTATTATTGTACTTGTTCCTCAGAGACCTAATTAATATGAAAACTCAAGTTCAAAAGTTGAAGGACAGAAGATCAATAATAATATTTCGTCTTAACAAAGTCAATGCTATTAATGCAGTTTAATCCTTTTATTTTGGGGCACAAGTGTTATTTTTCAATAAATGGCAAGAAGTCGTATTTACAGTGTAGAATTTTATAATAAACAGCACGAGGTCTAAAATTGCTTTATTAAAAAAGACACATTGACAATTTGAGATAGTTATACATGTATCTATATGAAAAAGAAAGAAATAAACTTATTTCTCGAATTTCGCTTCTCTCACCTACACGTTTCAATATGAACCCCGCTGCAGTTTCGTTCTTATCGTACATGGCATAACATTTATTTTTGTACGGCAGCGAGTGCGTGATGTTTTAATATCACGAATCACGATTCCAAGCCAACGCAACGTCACAACGTTGCAGCGTTGCGGTTCAAAGGTACTTTGTGCGTTGTGGATCGTTATAAGAAATAGACAGTTATGAGCGTTATGTATAACTATCACGTTGCAGCGTTGCGGTTTAAAGGTACTCTGTGCGTTGCGGATCGTTATAAGAAATAGACAGTTATGAACGTTATGTATAACTATCTATACGTTATAAAGTAAATAGACGTTTCCATAACTGTCTATACGTTATAATGCTCATAGCTAGTAAGAGCTAGGGTTGTGCAGAACACGTTGTCGATAGATCGAGCGCGTTCGCTCAAGGCTACCATTGCGGTTTGAAAAATGAATTTCAAGTTCTTTTATTTTTTAATTTTCCATAAAGACTCATTAAATAATGCTTAAACTATAATTTTAAAATGAAATTGAACTTATTAAATCTTTGAGGATTTGGAGTAAAAATTGTTATTATTTATTTTAGTTATACAGTTTTCTTTTATTTATAACTTTAGTATAGATTATTGTATAAATTATTATTAATAATAATAACAAATTCTTAAACATAAAAGAAATTGTTAATTTTTCAACACTAACTGGAAATTAGCGTTAACGATAGGAATGCAGCGCATCATTAGGACATCCATAAGATCAGTAAGTGCATGCGAGAGTACAACATCGCCGTTCACATGTTTTTGGTGGTGACTGCCGCTAAGTGTTGGCTTCTACTATAGTCATAATATATAAAGCGTTGGCGTCGGCTATAGTAAAGCACCAAGTGGAGACACATTTTGACACACAATACTAGATGTGAAAACATAAAATAAAACAGAAAACTAATGACTTATATCCTTTGATCAATAATAACAGTTACATCTCTTAAAATTTGGACTTAAAAAATTTATTTGTACTTTATGAAACTATAGTTATATATATCTACCAAAGCTGTAATAAACTCAACTATAAGATCAAAGAATGGAAGCTTTATTTTAACATACAAGTATGGATGTTGCGGTCTTAGACTAAACAATTGAAGTAATTTTTCTGAGAATTTCACTCCGTAATTTCAAAACGTGTGAAAGAGACAACAACACCACTAACTGTTATTGCAAGTTATTTTGAAAAATAATAATTTCTGCCGTTTTGAGTAATTATTTTACAAAGAAAGAGTGAAAAACTGTAGAATAAATCGATTTAACGAAAAAAGATTTCGAGGATGTTAATGAATACTTAGGCATGTTTCAGCTTGCCGCACGCGACTGAGCTAAAGTTACGGTTACTAGAAATTTACAATGCCGTATTATGAGCGCTCGTGGTGTATCAATGTTTTTATTGATCAAAGATTATATAATATTCCCAAGTAAAACAATATATTAGAAATGTTAAAGTTCTGTTATAATTTATATTTGCGATTGTTGTAACTTGGTGAAACTTCATCTTCATTCTTGTCATAATTTTTTAAATTTAAAATAATATTGTAAAACAAGTACAAGTGCTTAACCCAACCACAAAAATAAATTGTGCTCAATTTACGAAGTCCTTAACTAATAATCTTCATATAAATACAAATTATAAACACATCAGAAAAAAATAGTAAAAAACGCAAATATAAAAATCATAAGAATTAGTACACAAAGCAAGAAAGCCTTTTTTAACACTAAAGTTTGTTTGTTTTCCATTATTAATACTACGACTTAATAATACAATTAAATAAAATGAAAAATTATTCTTAAATGTCAACATAAAATTACAATTTTTAAGTATATATATATATATATATATATAAACTAACAAAACGTTATGTAAAGATATATAAATGGTAAAGTAAAACGTAGTTTCTTTGATTTATTTTAATTTAGAGCATTCCTGGACCATCTTGTTCATGGTTTCTGCTTTTTTCGAAAAACATGAAATCCTGAAAAATGAAAATGTGATGTTTTTAACTTTTATCAATAAATACACTAATATTACATGAAAAGCAATTTACTTGAAGTATATTTAATTTAAATTTATTTGCTTCCAAACCAAATTACAAAGGTCAATAATTATTGTCTATTGTTTTTATGAATTCATGTAATCTTTCATATATATGATTATATTGAGTTTGGTAAAGAGTAATATTGCATGCATTATTTAATTAATTATTAATTTGTAGACATTTTAAGTAAACACGAATAATGTTAATTAATTTCATTAATATTTTATGTTACCATTAAGTTTTCCCACACAATGTTGATTGTTTTTATAATAAATGACTAATGACTAATGACTATTGTATTTGGCATTTGCTGAATTATTTCGCTGTAAACAAAATTGTTCCAAACTTTTTCATATCATTTGAAAAAGAAAAAACATGAAACACAGCTAAATGGAAATGAGTACAATCTATTAAATTGTCTTTTATGACTTTTATAAATTTAAAATAGCAGCGTCGCAATTTATTCGCTATAAATTGCGATGCTGCTATTTTAAATTATTGTTGTTGTCGTTGTTTTTATATTTTTGTTTACAGTTTTATTAGTAAAATAATAATAATACACTCTTGTTTTCAAGTTCTGACGTATATGTGACGGGGAGACGTGTCGTAATCACGAAGTGCTGAAGTGTTTGTACAGTAGGGCTACAATATCTTAGTACAAAACTAGATACGAAAGCCATCCAATGAAACAGTTATATTATACATTCGAAGACGCTCTTGAGCTACTGGACTGAAAAGGGTCCTATATCGACATCAATGGTGAGTACATCACTAACCGATTGGCCGACAATATTCTCATTATGGCAGAATCGTTGGAGGATTGTGCACGATAACCTCAATAGTATTTAAAAACAGATAGGTCTTAAAATGAATATGGCAACAAAACAAAGGTCACGTGTAACGTCCATGTCACAACTATGCCGGTAGTTGTTGGGAGCACTACGCTCGAAGTTGACGATTATGTTTACTTAAGACATATTGACCGTAGATTAGTCCAACTTCGACCGAGAGGTCGATTAACAAATTCAACTCGGCTGGGCAGCGTTCGAGAGATTACGACACATCTCACATATCTATAACTCAAAGAAGTATTAAATAGATTATTTTTAAATGTATTTATTGTAGGATTCTGTTTTCTTACTGTTCTTGCAGCTGATGTAGGTACCCAGAACAGTAAGTATGCAGTAAGAGGAAACCTATCGATTAAAATATTGAATGAATAAAGAATAGCTGTAAAACGAGTACATGTTTCAATCCTGTAATAAAGGATATATTTCTCCAATTTACAATGTTTACTATACTCACAATCAAGAAACACGCTCCCAACAGAACTGCCTTTATCCTCACATCTAAGTCCATAGGAAGTGTTATGCCGAAGTAGTCAGCATCAGTGAATACCTCACGTGCAAGCCCTGACCACTGCTTTGTAATCTTTCCAACTTTTGTGTCGCCGTCTTTAGAATACACCTAGAAATAAAAATTTCATCAAATAAAATTACTAGATGCGAATAAAATGCTAAAGTTAAATACATTCAAATTTCAAAATTAACTATAATTAGCTAAGAAAGCGAATGTAAACAGTTAAAATTAATAGAGTGGTTATTATATTATAGTGTTTTAATTCCCAGTGTTTGCTGTTTGGTAGCGGCGTAAGAAAATCTATGACACCAATCGTCCGAACAAATAGAAATTTATTAAGTTTTTGATTGATAGCAATATAACAATCTATGATAAATGTAAAATATCCAGACCATTGACGACGACCAGTTACCCGTCCAACACTATCAACAAACTGCTGAAATTATACCACAGTTTAAAGAGAGTCTAACAGCTGAAAAACGAATGTACTCGTGCAGAGCAACGACGGAGGCCTTGCGGGGCAGGGGGCGGCGCGACCTTGTGTCAGCGCACTCAACTACATACGGTTGACGCTAGCGTATTTTATAGTACATATTTAACAAATGCTGAATGGCTGTTATAGTTATATGAGTTTTATTATTGAAATTATCATGTTCAACAATAAATGTTTTTAAGTATATATGTACTTACAAGTATGTACATAATGTTAATAAATGATAATGAGTGTTATAATATCCAAAATTATTTCATTTCCAATTTCGTGATAACAAGTACCATACTTACAACGACGGCGTAAATAGTAAATACTTACGCGGGCGGCGGAATCGTTTGATATCAAAGGCATTTCACAGCTGTTAGCTCTTTAAACTGTGAATATTGGGAGTAAGAGAAAGGGTAGGTCGGGGTAAGGGGAGTTTTCGGGACATGAAAAAATCATCGTCCTATGCCATACCCCGGGTGACGTTAAGGAAGACTAGGAAAGTATCTCTTCTTCTTGAGACTTCCGACGACAGATATAAAATGCATGGTACTCATACCCCAAGCGGGTAAAATGGTAATTTAGGTTTGATAATATTAACCAGGAAGTTAATAAACACAACAACACGGTATAGGAATATTTTAACAACACATGAATTCCAAAGAGTATGACAATATTCTCTTAAGGCGCAGGTTGAGCAAAATGTCGCGCTAGTCGTTATTTGTGCTGTTTTTAGGAGCTATCTACTTTTTATTTAAAAGATATATCAACAAATAAAAAACACATTATATTTTTACATAATCTTGATTCCATAAAAGCTATATCCAATTTTTTTTAAAGGAATAAATATTAATATAATCTCCTTACAACGAAACCACATAAATGTGAAATTATTATTGATAACATGCATCTCCTCGTAAAGTAAGTATTATTTTATTTTGCGATTTACACCAATGGATAGGCAATTTATTAATGAACATTTCTATAGTAAATTTTTTTTCAAAAGACCAAAATTTGATTTTATTAAGAATTTATTTTAAAATCTGGGCATATTCACTGCTCACGGGCTTGCTGAAGTCAGTGAGCCCTGAGCTTCGACGTGAAGCCCGTGTCGTCAGAGCGTCGACCAGCACATACACTCACGTCATATCAGTCGATAATAATATTACTTATTAGGTTATTTATAGGTAGTATTATTTGTTTGTTTTGGGTATAATTTTTCGTATTAGTTATACATATATTTGTTGTGTTTTTTACTGCGCGATGAAGATTTTGGCGTGTATTTTCTTTGAAGTAAATGCAAATAAAAAAATGAAGCACCATTAGCATGTAAGGTTCGAATCCATAATTAAAATTTCGACAAATATTATAATTTACACTATAAAAGGCTAATTCAATATTATCACCCAACCACAATATCTTATTAAGTATAGTACTGCCTCGTTGGTCTAGTGGTGGTAGTAGTGCGACTTCTGATCATGAGGTCCCGGGTTCGAATCCTGGGTCGGGCCAAAAAGTCAGTTATGAGTTTTTCATTTATGTTCTAAGTTATAATTAGTATTACTAAGTTATAGTTTTTTGCTAAAATATAGTATATTATTTATTGCTTGTTTTTTCTTCTTTTTCAATAAATAATTGAGTACATAAGGTGTTCTATACTTATAATTCGGTAAAAAGTATCTAAGTAGGTACTAATATACCTACTTTTTACTATTAACTAAAAATTTTTAAAACTAAATTTAACTAAAAAGACTAAACTGACCATTTATTTTTTAACTCAAAACAGGACATGGGTTTATTTATTATACTCTAAAAACTATAACTTTATACAATTAGTGTTCGCTGTAAAATTATGTTCGGTGTAGGCGGTAATTAGTAAATGCAACATATTTTTTTTAAATTATTAATTACATTTGTAAGTGGATTAAATTTGCTTTAATAAAGTTGGTGATGATTTTAAATAAAAATAAAATTCTGCTCAAGTTTTTTTATTGTTATCTTTGTTAACAACATCGCCTTTAGAACTCTGGAACCGTAAGTGTTTCTTTCAGACGTCCACAATTTATTCAAAATAAAAAATACTCTTTCTACCGGAGCATTCGTACCAGGTAGACATAAAATATATTCGATTAAAAAAAATTATGTTGAAGATTCTTGACTTTAAATACTTCCATCCAACTAGTTACGGGACAGTTTTGTGTCCCGGAGCTTTGTTTGGGGACAATGGGACAGGTGACCGAGAAAAGGGACAGTCCCGTTCAAAACGGGACGTATGGTCACTTTAGCTATAACCTGGCGACGGCTCCGTGGCGCAGTGGCTTAGTAATCAGTTGTTGCGCTGGGGGCCGCGGGTTCGAATCTCGCACGGAACAAGTATTTGTATGGCCTACAAATAATTGTTCCGGGTCTGGATGTTTGTCCTTGTGCAATTTATGTTTGTAAACTGCCTCCACGACACAGGAGAAAATCCTAGTATGGGGGTAACGTTTTTTTACAATTGAAATTGAAAGATTGAACCCTTATACTTCTTGTTGATTTTTGTATTACCTTTATTAAAGTTACCCTTATGTATAAATAAATATAATTACGTATGTAGAAATAAAATTGATTTTCATCCTCATCAATCATTGGGGCGAGGATAATGTCTGCCAGCATAAGTAATAAGCAGGCTAAGTTACAAGGTGCTCAGTTCAAAAACTTGTAGGTAGGATATGTTACTTTTCAATACGTGACACGTAAAAATTAACAATAATCAAAAACACATCTACGAAACATCCTATTTATTTATTTATTCTTTATTGCACCAAATATTTGTACAAAACGCGAGCTATTTATTTACCTATAGTGAATAGGTATCTTTTAAACTGACAATTTTCAATGCTTCATTTTTAATATATAATTAATTATAAAATTTCATAATTAGATAATATATGAAAATACATAATTCTAATATAATGCACTAATATACCGAATAAAAAAATTAAAATACATTTATCGTTGTACGCTGTGTGTATTTCCATAAATTAGTTTATTGATGTTGAAAAAATAATACTACATAATAGGTGGCGTCTTAAATAAGCAATATATTGAAGCGAGCGGCGTGCCGCCGGCAAATGCTCAAGGTCGTTCGCATGGAGTAGCCCCTTAAGACATGTTGTATATTACATCCAAGAAAACTTTATTTTATAATCTACCTTTTTTTTATTTAAACATTGACTTAAAATGAGAATCAATCAATCAGATTTTTATGCAGAGAAAGAACACGCAAGAATGAAAAACTGTAGAAAATTAAACTTTCGTTAATTTTTAAATTATAAATAAAGTATATAAAAAACCTTTTAAAGGCGGCTATTACTTAAGAGTTAATAATCAGTAAAAGCACCCATGACATTCATAACGTATCTGCATCGGTTGGGCATACTCAGAATGAGGTTGTTATTATTCTGTTGAGGAATATTGTCCCAGGTCCTACTGAGATGCATGAAAAGTTGTTCTTCTGTAACCATATTTTCAGGAAAATCCCTGAGACTTCTTCGTTGGAGCATATCCCAAGCATGCTCAATGGGATTTGAATGCGGCGATTGCGCTAGCCATTCTAGGGACGTGACGTCATGTTCGTGCAACCAGGTTACCACCCTGGCTGTATATGAACGAGCATTGTCATGCATAAGCAGGAATTATTTTTATAGGATAGGGTGACAAACGAGCACACAGTGCACCTGATGGTAAGTGGTTGCTGTGGCCCATAGACATCTACATTTATCCTCGTTTGCGAATAAAAATGCAGATGCGTTGTCACCCATGAGGACTAAGATGGAATGCCTCTTTTCCAGTAAAAAGTCCAGTGCCGGATCTCCGGTTCTCAACACTCACTACACGAAACACAGCAGTGTTAAGCTGCTATTTGACGCTGGTATTCTGTGAGAGCGTGGTCCTTCCCCGGTCGAGCCGACCCATTCGTGCTACAACTATACTACTAATATAGCTGCAGCAGGGCTCTACCACGTACTACTTTGACCCGGCCGTCAAAGTGTCCTGTATCCAAACAAGGTCCATTCTTCCACCAAAACGAATTTTGGTTGTGGTCACATTTTATCTGGTGCCTATTGCTGCAGCGATGTCACGTTGAAAAGCCTTTCCAGCATTGCAGCATTCCCACTACTCCTTATCCAGTTAAATGTCGACGTTGCATTGCAGTAAAATGTCAAATTATCACAATTAACCAAAGTTAAATAAAAAAGATGTTTAATTAGCGGTTTTCAAGAAAAAAAAAACAATTACTCTGTAACAAAACAAAATTTAACATTGTATACAAAATTCGATTCAATTCACTCCCTCTATAAAAAAGTACAACTCAATTTTTACCGTCAACACATTTTTTTTTGCTTTTATTTAAATTTGGTATCAATCTGAAATAAATGACGGACAACTTGATATTAAAAGCATTTTAAGTGGCTAGTACTCTTTTGTTTTTGTACTTGTTTTTGTCTATATTATTAAAATATCTCGATAACTTATTGATGTGTTTATTACGCCTTTTAAACAATATCTATTACCAATAGTTACTCATTATAGTTGCCCTCCTGGAGTCAATTGTTGTAGTCAAGTGCCATATTAGCTTCGATTTTAC